GAAGATCCTATAGCTTCAAAACAGCTGCTTCTTGCTATGAATGATAAAGAATGATGAAAAGATAGATAAATGGTAAGGAATAGTGAAGAATGGTAAAACGAGTTGTGAGTTTCAGCTCCTCTAACAACCTGCTAATGCCCGGTGATCACATCTAACAGATTTCTAGGAAAGCTAGTCTCTGCAGGAGTGTTGACATCTCTTTTACATCCTGGCTTAGCTAAACACCAGAAGATTTTCAGATTTAGCGGTCATGACATGAGAGATTACATCCATTAACATGAGTAAATGCTATAGCCATGACATGGAGGACTGGAGTGACATACAAAGAATAACACCAGGCACTTAGATTAGGACACTATATTTCCACTTTTTTTGCATGAATATAAATATTTCTATTTGAAGAACTATGCCTTTGCATATGTTCTATTATTATCTATTCTATTATTAATATTAATTATTATTAATTAATATTAATTATTATTAATAATATTCTATTATTATCTATGTGTGGATAATGGATCATCTTTCTCTAGCTGAGAAAGCTATGTTGCAGAATTATCTGGCTGCATTCCACAGGTCAGGCACCTCTGGACTTTTCCTTGGTCTTTTCTACATTGATTCATTCTAGACATAGATATAGATTATATATATAAAAAAAAAAATTCGGACTTTCCTGCAACTCTGATCAGTCATTCTCTTGAGCTCTAAATAAATTAGCTAATCCATTGCTAGGTTTTGCACTGTTAAAGCTATTGGACAGAGGAAACCAATTTTTTTTTTTAAATTAAGAATCAACAAGATTCTAAAAAAAACTTTTTCAAACCATATAAATGTTTTTAAATGTTAAGCTTCAGAATGTGTCCCATATACAAGCATTTCAGAGTTTTATTATTTTATCTGATCAGGAGTACTTGTATTTTTCCCCATTCTGAAATCAACTGGGGAATTCATAGATGGAAAACATCTATGGGGGTGACAGAAGATGACTGGAGGAAGCTAAAGTTGCACTCTTGAGCTCATATACCTTGGCATAAATTCCACAAGCACATTTCTCAATACATACATATTAAGCTATGGTTTCTTTTAACAAAGGTTTGTAGAACAAACTACAGTGTCTTTTTCAGATATCAGTCTAGGCCAGAAACTTGGTTTATGAGTTTATTCATAGTTCTTGCTAAGCCAACACTAAGAAGCCACATTAAGGCTCAGTGCAATATGTGAGCCCAGCCAGCATTTCTGGGTTTTGCATCCTCCTTTTACTCCTCCTACCAAGAAAATGGTCCAGTCAAGAAGCAAAGAAAGATAGGTATGCTTCAAGATTTGCTAACTTTTCCAAATCAGCCAATCTGAGGAAGGCTTTGGATAGTGGAGAAGACAACAAACTGCATTTATTCTTCCTATCTTACATAGACCTTCCTGCTTTACTTTCCTGCCCAGATTAAATAATCTCACCAAAGTCGTTTAAATAATATAATCCTTAAAAAATATTCTCAAATCACTATGTTGTTACACTGGCCGTGTTCATGCAACATGTTGAACAAGAAACCTTAAATAGCAAGTATGTGTACTGCAGCATTTTTAACCCATTGTGCATGGTTCTTTACATGAAGTTTCAGACCATTCTTTGAAATGCTACATGGCTGCCATCTTGGATCCATTTAATTTGCACTCTGTAACCTGAATGACACAATAAATCTGAAATCTGAGTTACAAAGCTGCCGGTGAGATGGTTAAAACTGGTATCAGTTAAGGTTTCTTGCTTAGCACATATTGTATATATGAACATTTCTGCTGAAGTAAGACTTCCTACCTATTCTGTAGCTCTTTTCCTTAACACTAGATTGTTCTCCAAGAAAAAAAACAGATAGAGTAATTAATCCTGCCTTTCATCACAGAGATGTGTCAAACATCTATCTTCAATGTAATTTATCTCATTCATTGTGAATGTAATGAATAGAAACCACAAGGAACGGCTTTGGAGCAACTACATTGAAATGAATGGGATATACTCTATAGCGTAACTGTGCTCTGCAGAACCCACATTCTGCTTTTAATATAGTCTGTGCTAGAAATGCTTTGATTAATCTTGCCCTGTATTGCCTTGTAAACCTAACCATCAGAATCATCAGGTACTTCAGATATCCAGTGTGGCTTCCTGACTATGCAGTTTCTAGACAAGGCACAATATTCTTATATCTTATTGAGAAGCTTAAATTGATATTATTATTGGGACTGCTACAGAGGTAACTTCATTTTTGCTGTTGTTACAGAAAAAGTATTAAAATCATTTTAAACTAATCTATTACATTAAGACAATGATAACACATCCAAGTAAATGCAAGTTGAAGACTACTGTATTGGTAAGAACCCTATAATGACTCCACTCAAAGATGTAAAGTCAGTCCATCCATCATCTTCTCTTTCCAAGTGCTATTCAGACGTGCTCCCATAAATTCTGTTCCTGGTTCCTTAAAAGTAAGGCCCACTTAATTCAGTGGGGCTTATTTCCTAGTGGGTGTGTTTAGGATTGAAACTCTAATACTACAAATGTGATTGCTATATATAGATATTTCAGTTGCTGGCATATGAACAGAAGTATATGAATAATATTGCATTTAAACTAGCTTAAACAAAATCAATGAAGAATCCACAACACTGGGATATTAGCACATTAAATAACTAATTTGGAGTACTATGTTTTTTCTAAAATCAAAACAGAAGTGGAATACAGTATGTATGTATCTTCTGTTTCTTCCATCACTGCTGAACAAATGGTGTTATGATAATATACTCAAGGTAATATCATAAACTTAATCATCTTTTTTAGGAGAATAAAGCTGTAATATTATACATGCTTATTTTTGATTAAATAATTGCAATTGCATTGCAAGTCTGGACTTCTAAGAACTTCTCCCAGAAAATAAGTGAGCTCAATTTAGCTCAGTGGACCTCTATCCCAATAAGCTAGTATAGGTTTGCACTGCTTCAGGCTACAATCAAAGCATAATTAACTGGGTGTCATTTTGTTTGAATCTACAGGATTTAACTTCTCGGCAAGCACTGACAGGTTGGTCTATGTAAATCTTGAAAATCAAATTGCATTATTTTCAAATAATGCAGTAACTCTGGATTGTCACTGACAGATATCTACAATTAACATAAGTTGCCAATAAAAAACACGAGGGGTCTCTCAGACTTGCTAAGACTTTCACTAATGCAACATAGACTAGTCATTGTGTTGGACAGTGGAACTGAAGCACACATAAGTTTCACTGATTTCATGGGAAAGCTGAGCACGCTTATGAAATTAGGGACACAAATGTGATCTAATGCATCTTGACTGAAAGCAAACCCCACTGCAATAGGAGCAACTCACTGCCAAGAAAATACAACATGACATTTTGATTTAGTTAAGCATTGGCTGGATAGCATATCTGTTAAGTAGATCCATAGCTGGCTTGAAAACAGTGCTCAAAGAATACTCATCAGATTGGAGTTAAGTATCAAGTGGTGTGGCACAGGGGTTTAGTCCTAGGCCTGGTTTTCCTCATTATTTTCATTAACTTGGATACACAGGTGGAAGGAGTGCTTAACAGATTTGCAGATTTTAAAGAATTGAGTAAGACAGATAAAATATTAATAGACAGAAACAAAATTCAAAGTCATCTTGACAGACTGAAAAAAGAATGAAATTTAATAGAGACAAATGGAAAGTTCTTCATATAGAAAAAGTAATCAAATGCAAGGTATTGAATGGAGAATCAGTAGCTGAATATGAATCAGTTGACATAGCTGCTGAAAAGGCAAATACAGCTTAGTATATTTTCCAAATCCCAGAAGTAAAGTTATATTATATTCTGAGTATCACACTCAGTTTCTGGGCACCGTACCTTAAGAGAGACTGAGAAATTGAAACAGGTGCCCAGTATAGAACCTTACCAAGGATGATCCAAAGACTGAATATTTAGTCAGGATCACAACTAGAGTCTAATAGCATCTTCTGATGTCACTCAGCCATCACTGAAGTGATAGAAAACTTGTCTTCATTGCTGAATTAAATGCCATAAGTCCCTAGTGCAAATCCTGATTGTCTTAGAGGAGCCTGAAAAAAATGGATATGTTTAAGCCTTGAGAAATAACTGAGGATGAATAGGATCAAACTTTTCAAGTGCCCAAAGAAGTGTCATACAGAAGAATGACTTGTTCTCTGCATCCCAGGGTGTGGGACACAGATTAAGATGTCCAATTACAGGAAGTTATTGGCATAAAGCAGTTTGACAAGTGGAACCAATTACCAAGGGCTGGTGACTCCCCTTTGCTGGATGTGCTCAACCAGAGGCTGGATAGCCACCTGTCTGGAATGCTTTCACTCAGATTCTTGCACTAAGCAGAGGAAGGTTCCTTCCAGTTCGGTGGCTCCGTGAAATCTTTTGTAAATCTACATCCTTAATAGACTTGGCATTGATTTCATGTCCAGTGCAAAGCTGCATCTTCAAACGGTCAGCTTGGTTGGACTCAGTTTCTCCCTCTTTAATACAACTGCCCCACCTCACCCTCGTCTTCAACTCGCATCCGAGGGTCAAAAATAAGACTTTTGCCCCGGTGATCTCGCACCTGATTTGAAAGGAAAGCATGCAAAACCGTCCTTTTCAAAGTGTTAAACATTCAGGTCTCTCTCCCCCGGCTGTCGCTCCATCCAGACCGAGTAATAAAAGGAGAAGGAGCGAGGCTCCTGGAGTCCTCCCGGCCCGGCCCTCCCACCAGTTTCGATTGTAGCCGGCCGGGCTCCCTCCGTCTCCATCCCTCCTCAGCTCAGGAGGAGCAGACTCATTTGGAAAACTGCGTCTGCACAGCGGCCACTCCGAAGCCGGAAGGAAACAAGTGGGGGAACTTGCAAGCGGCGCACGAGCAAAGGGTAGCCCCACCGGGTACGTGCACTTGGCCGCACTGCTGCTCCTCCAGGGCCGCCGAGAGGTATTTGCTGGCTGGTCGCAGCCTGTCAGGGTGGTGGTGGTGGTGGTGCAGGTGGTGGTGGCTCATGTTCCCCGGCGTTAGCAGCACCGGGCCCGGGGCGACGGCGGCGGCGAAGAGAGGCAGTCCAGCCAGCAGCAGCCTGGGACTTGCGGAGCCGCTTATCTCCCCTATGATTCTCCGGAGCTCCTGCAACGAGCTTCCCAACAACAGGATGTAATTCCGGGCTAAGAGTAACGTGGCGATTTTGGAAAGCTTCCGCCCCGGCGAGCTCTGGCAGTGAGCCGTCGAGTAGGGCAGAATCACCTCTCGTAGCGCGTCCATGGCCAAGTTGAGGTCCTGCATCCGCTTCCGCTCGCGGCTGTTGATTTTTCTCCGCAGCAGCTGCTGCTCGCTCTTCTGCTCGCTCTTGCTACCGCCCACCCGGGTGGTCCCAGTCCCGGATTGCGGCTGGAGGTGCTCCGGCGCAAACTCCGGCCTGCTCTCCTCGGCTTGTTTAGGAAGCAGGGCGGAGGGGGCCTGCGCGTAGCCAACCAGCTCATACGGAAAGTGTTGCCTCAACATGATGGCCCTGTTGTGGGTTTTCAGATCAGGCAAAAGACTTTCATTGCATTAAATTAAAAGGCTCGTGAGAAGAAAAGTCGGCAGGAATTGGGGGCTGCTCGGTTTTGCAGCCAGCAAAGGGGGATAAGGATCAATCAGTCAACCAATCACTGCTTTAATCTTCCTGCTGTAATTTGCGCCGAGATGTGAGGAAATGGATTATTTAGTTCAGATCCGCTAAATCCAACCCTGTATTAGAGCAAAGGAAAGACAGGCTGCAGCCAATGGAAGTGCAAATCTGGGTCAAAAGAGGCGCTCATTGGCTGCCACAAGATGCTCAGGGAAAACGTTGCAACTGACAAGACCTTTATTGTGAAGTCTGGCGCTGCAGTTTTTCAGCTTTGAGCCTCCTGGTAGCATAGCCCAAACTTCCAGACAAACCTGCCCTCACCTGTGCTTCCTAATTATCACTGATATTATTAATGCTCTCTTCTTTTGCAGGTCCAGAATTTGTAAACAGTCTTTTCGGATGACAGTTTTTAAATAAAACAGGATCAAGATCACGCGCAGCCCCGAGGATAGGTTCAAGCATACACTTACATACTTCTCTGGACTAATTTCAAGAATAGTCTGCTAGCTTTAACTTTCTTCTGCCCTGCATTTTCTTTTGGATTCAGAATCTTTTCTCGTAGAGAAGGCAGAGTTGTGAGTAAAAAGGGTTTTCAAATTTTATGTCCTATTTGTGTACAGTACAGTATTGGTAGAAAGAGATGAACCTGCCATCTTCTTATCACTTAAGATAATAAGGCAAGATATGGGTCTGGGCAAGCCTACTGCTTTTCAGCAGTGGACAATACAGTGGCTTAGCAAGCAAGGCACAAGTTAGTTATAGTTCTGTATTTTTCCTTCTCTTGTCCTTCATAACTGGAATTCAGAAATATTTAAGCCTTAGTTCTCTAATTGAAACCTCAATATATGTTATTTTTCATGTGGTTTTAATTTCTCCAGTATACTTCTGAAAAATCTAAATGAAATCTTGCTCAAAGGGAAGGCAGGCTCGGATAAAGCAAGAATACCCTTAAACGAGCCTTTCTGGTATAGTGCCTTGGTGTCTTTTAAAAAGAAAAAACAGTTATATAAATTAAAAAGTGGCCAACTGCTATCTCTCAGTTTGACTTACATTAGGAAGGGGCTCTGTACCTTGCTTTGAACTTTGTGAAGGAAAGGCATGGTCTGATTGCATTAAGTAAATGAAAGATTTGTTTAGGAGAATCTTCTCTATGATTCCCTTTACATGCAGGTGAAAAGTGTTCAAAATGATTGATTGCACCTCTGTCCTCACTCCATGCATATGTCAGTCCCAGTCTTTCACAGTTGGAACTAGGAATTATCAGAAGAGCCCTCTTGGATCAGGTGCTAGGCCATCTAGTCCAGCAGTCTTTGTCATACAGTAGCCAACTGGATGCATTTGAGAATGTCTCAGATGTGGACCAGTGAGTGATAGCCTCCTAACAGCCATCAAAGTAGTAGCTACTGATAGCTCAACCCCCTATGAATCTGTTCAGTCCCATTTTAAAACCACCCACATCAGCTGCTTATTTGCAGAAGTGCTACCAGTGAATTCCACAGTTTAACTGTATGCTGTGTGGAAACTATTTCCTTCTGTCCACCATTAATCTCTCTGCTTTTCAGTTTCAATGATGACCTTGAGCTCTAATACTTAGAGAGGGAGGAAGATTTCTCTGTTTCTACCTCATATATACCATGTATGATTTTATATGCCTTTATTATGTCTCTCCTTATACTCCTTCATTCCAAATTAAAGAAATACTGTTGCTTTAACCTTTATCTATGCAGGAGCTGCTGTAGCTCCCTAATAATTTTTGTTGCTATTTTTGCTCCTTTTCTAACAATATAGTATGCATAATACTCCATGTGATGTATGCATAGATTTGTAAGGGCACTGTATTATTGGCAGTTCATTTTACAGTTTTCTTCCTAATGATTTCAAGCATGGAATTTGCCTTTTTCAAAGCAGCTGCACACTTGGTTAACATTTTCATTGAGCTATTCACATGACTCCAAACTTTCTGGTAAGTTCCTACTGGTTCAGATCCCATTAATTAATCAATTAATTAATCTATCTCATTAATTAATCCAGATGTTTTGTGTGAGCGTTATCACTTGACACTGAATTGCATTTGCCATTTGAAGCCCATTCCTCCAGTTGGGAAAATTTTTTTGCAGTTTCTTACAGTCCCTTTTGACTTTACCACCCTGAAGATTTGATATTAACTGCCAATATAGCCACTTCACTATCAGCCCTCCAGATCACTAGTATGTCCGTTTGCACCTATTCTGTTTTTTTAACAAGTTATGTGAGAATATATAAAAATACAGGAGCCCATTTTCTTCTTCTGGTTTGAGATCTAGGGGGAAAATAATAATTTTTTTTCCTCCTAATTTTGTACCTAATTTTAGTAAGGAAGCCATGTATTCAGCAGTAGACAATCACTGCAAAGAGGAAGTCTCAGTTGCTATATTAATTGAATTCCACAGCTGAAATGACTAACTATTAGGTATATATGAAAGCACAATAATTCAGCTGCAATACATACTGCAGAAGAATGGAAAAAAATGCAAAAGTTAATTCAATCATTTTAAATGCATTAAAACAGACTTACTACAAATAATCAACATTTTTAAGATACTATATCCTTATCTAAAATGTGGATAGCTGCTTACAACAATTAAGCAAAGGAACAATATAGTGAGACATGGCACATTTTCTAGTTTTAAAATTCAATGCTGTCATCTCTGTATCTCCTGGCCAAACCTATTTTTTTCCAATGAAAAGAAAATTACAGTCTGTGTTTGTTGACACAGAAAAAATGCCTCTGTGTGTGTGTGTGTCTGGAATGAGAGAGAGAGAGAGAGAGGTCTCTTTCCTTTTCCTTTATAAATGGGTTTAAAATAGGCCATCAAACATTGATTTTAAATTTTGGAATAGGTTTAAAAGTATCCTTGTGTATAAAACAGCTAAGCTGTCTTAAAACAATGTGATTCAGTGTGCTGTGAAATTGCATCCACAGGTCTATAAAACTGATTTCAAAGAGCTGAATTTCTTTGCAAATTAAAAAAAAAAAAGACAAAACCCCAACCCAAACTCTTTAAGCCATTCTGGAGTTAGTCATTTAAGCCAATTCCTGTGCAAGCTTTCTCTGATGCAGTAAAAGAGACAGTTTGCTTAGAGGCTGTAGCTGATTTATAGTACAATGACCAATGGCATAGTTAGGGCTGTTCTTCTGGGGGCGGGGGTGTCCTTTTGTATTTTGTTTTTGTGTTTGTTGCAACAACACCCTGGCAAAGTCTCAGGAGTCGTCAAAAGATGTGAGTGATTCTGGTTGCTTCTGGGATGTTCCAAATGGTTCAAACAAACCCGTTCACAGGGACGCATGGCCAAGTGTGTTCCAAGGAACGAGGGGAAAAACAAAGATTGCTCTGAAGTAATTTCCCTGCACTGAATCCAGCCATCCGGTTTCACTCTTTCTTCATTGAATGGTCAGAATGCAACAGGAAGAGCAAGGCTGAAAGAGAACAACCGGCCAAATGTACTGGCAGAGGGAGCTGCAAGAGACGGCAGGGGCAGCTTGATGCAAAACGACCATTCTTTACTCTTGGAAGGGAATGAATGATAAATGTTCGCGTCCCTGAGGTAATAAATGTGTCTTGCTTGCAGGGCCAGGGCCAAGTTCCTAGGACACCTGCGAAGACAGGAGAGGCTTTATAGGTCCAAGCAATCTCTTTATTGGAAACAGACGGGATGTAGCGGATAGAGAGGATACTGTTTGCCATTTGCCTCATTCCTTCACTGCTGCTGGCTCAACCTTCTTATCTATTTATGCAGCAGCCATGCCTGCTGCCCTTCCGCATAAAACACCATTCAGGGAGCTGGGGAGAGAGGGAGAGCACCATTGGCTGCAGAAGAGAAATACAAGATCTGCATTTATTCCTGGCTGCCCCAGGATCAGTCTGTTGAAGACAGAAGTAGGGGACCTGCAGCATTCCAGATGTTCCTGGACTATAACTTCAAGCTCCCCTGCCAACAAAGCTAATGAAAAAGGAGGCTCAGATTGCAGTAAAATCTGCTTGGGAGGAGGGGGTGTCCCAGTTTTCTACCACTAGTTTAAGGGTTACTTTACCCCATTATTAGAGAACTTGAGCTGAGGCCTAGCTGGAAATCCCACCTTGGATGCAGACAGTGTCATTCCTGATCCCTTAACAATGTTAGTCTGCAGTGGCACAAAACAGCCTGTCAGACCACATAGGATGACTGGAAAGCCTGGCTAACTCTAGAGATTGAGGAAGGTGACCTGGACGGAGATATGCAGGAACTGTTACCTGGGCAAAAAGGCCCGAGCAGTCCTTAAATTCAAAATGATGCCTCCCCAATTCACTGGAGTGTAAGAAGGAGAAGGTAGAGCACAGGCTTGCAAGATTCTGCATGTATAGCAGTTTCAATAAAAGCAGTTTTAACCTTCCTGTGGAGTTCGTTTCCTGGTCTGGTCTACTTAGCGGGGCTGACCCCAACCCTGCTGTCCTTTGCAGCTAGTCTTACAGGCACTTCTCTTTAGGACTCCAGCCAAACGCTCAATATCAGACTACAGCTGGGGTCACCAGGATAGAGCACTCCATGTAGGGGTGTCCACAGGGTATGGTCAAAACAATCAAGATGGCAGGTGGCCATGGCAGTGTCACCGAAACTGCCTGCTCACACAACGCACATAAACAGGCAGAGCATTAATCACACTGTCATGGGTGCCCTCTTGACTTTTTGGATCATACCCCACAGATACCTCTGACTCTATGCATAAAAGCAAGGAAGAAGGCAACACACCTGCAGCGGAGCGTGATGACTCCCAACTAGACTGAACTCTGGGGAGCAGTTGCTGGAGAACATAAGGTAGATGAATTTGGGAAAATCAGGGATTTAACAGCCAACAAGGGTTGGGGACTGGGTGCTGAAAAATACGAATTGGTATTTGGGGGCCCTTCTCAGCTGAAATTATTTTTGCCACTTATCGGCTACGCTGGCCGTGAGTGAGCTTGTCTTTGCCAGAGGTGTAGTAAATAGTTAACTTAGTAGCACTAAAATATTACTTTGACATTTTACTGAGGTTTTGGCCTCCTTCCTTATCTGTACCTGGGAGGCTTACAGCTGGCTGATTAGTCAGAAGGGAGTTAACCATTTTGGAGTATATGTGTTTGATTACCAGTGTAAATAATTTGGGGGGGGGTTGTAAATATTTTGGGTTTTTTTATATGCATGTTGTTTTTGTTAGCAATACCTTGTTTTAGCTGTAAATACACTTTACAAATTGAGATACATCTTTATATTTGCCCTGCTTCTTTCTAATGTGTGTGAAATGTGTCATCACTGCACCTACAACAAGGGTGAGGTTTCAATCACATGGTCATGACCACCATCTTGCCTTTTTTGACCCCATTCCCACAGACACCCCTGTTGGGGATACTGCCTGGTCAAGCTTTCCAGAAGGCTTCAGTGCTGTATGCATGATTTGGAACAAAGGTAGTGAGTGCTGTATCTGCTGGCATAAGGGAAGCTGGGTTCATGTGTTGGTTATCCTCTGTATTTAAATCTGAGGACTGATGGCAGCTACAAACAGCTCACGAGCCCATCCCCAAGTGTGGGTCAGTTTGGTTAGCCATCCAAGGCAGGCAATAGGCAGTGACAGAGACTCAGGAAGGCTACATTTAACTGCTACAAATCTCTCTTGCCTCCCCCTCCATTGCTGCATCTGAAATGAGCTGTTTTGCTCTAGCTCTCCTTCTCAGCCCATGTTACTGAACTATAAGGAACAGACAGGATTTAATACTGGGATGCGACCAGGATTGTCAGCTGGTAACTACTGTCTTTGCTGAAGTTACGGAAAAGGAATGTCAGCTTCTTCCAAAGCGCACAGATGGTTTTTCAAGAATTCATGGCTGTCCATAGCCCAGAGTCTTCTTTCACCCAGATGTGTTGGTGAGTATACATCATCTCCTCATCCTCTTCTGGTGGTGGTGTTTCTGTTATTGTTACTACATAACATCAGTAAAGAAGAAAGCTTTTATTTTTGATGCAGATGAGAGAAATCCTGCTTTAAAATCTTGGAACTATTTCAACTGGTTTTCATATTAAAAGTGATCCGTAGATTGATTGGTATACAGAATCTTATATACTATACTGCAAGATATAAGTGCAAGAAAGATACTATGGATCTGTGGTATTACAAAAATAGTGGACATTTTCAAATAGCCAGTTTTTCTGTCACCCAACTCTTTTAATTCCAATACAGAATCCACCTGAGATCAAACTAGGCTGTTATGAATTTTGTGGATCTATTTCCTGTCTTTCTTTCCTTGAAACACCCCAGGAGAAGCAAATACAGTAAGAGAAAAATGAGCAGAGTTAATTTGCAGGAGTTGAGGCTGGGTTTTTATTCCTGAAGTGCTTTTGGGTGGGGGCCGGGTCTTGTCAGTTTCAAAGAAAACAACTGTTTTGAGTTGGAAGTTCCCCATCCCAGAAAAAAGAGTGATATATTGAGACATTGTTTGATCAGTTAGGGCTTGCCTTGTGCCAAAATGGAGACTGCACCTTTGTCTAGTAGCTTCCATATTTTCCATGCAATCCAGTTTTCTCTGAAATTAGAAGTTTCAGAGAATTCACGATTTGCCCAAGTTTGATCTCCTTTGATGGAGATGATCAGATGCCTTCCAGAAATTGCTGGATTACAGTTCCTAGCATTCTTCACTTTTGGCCATACAGTACTGCTTGGCGGATGATACTGATTTAGCAACATTTGGAGAGCCAGGTTTTCCTCCCTGCTCTATTCTTGATAATCTTGGCTTCATATTATGTGAAGTAGGGCTTCCCCAGAGCTTTTCAAAATAAACCATTTTGCAGTTCCAGAAGCTTTAAGGCTTCCTTAAATCAGGCGAATTCATATATTGTGCAAAATCGTATGTGGATTGTTCAGTACTCACAAGAAGAATCTGCTGGTATTGCTTTTCAAAATCTTATTACTTAAAATATTAAGATGATACTTCAATTAAACTAAGGCTTCCAGCCCTTCCCTGCCACTGAATTAAAGTGCTGCCCACCATCCTTGGATTTGCACAAACAATGTGCTGTTCCCTATTGCCAATTCCTACCTGCCTCTGTTGTATCTCTTCTGAGTCACTGACAAATGGTGTTGCCCTGCTTTGTGACTGCACTGTGTATTATAGGTTTGTTCACACACTCCCCTAACTATAGTTTGAAGATGCCTCATCATCATTACCTAAGGACACATCCTCAAGACTTTGCCTGTCTCATCCCCAGCCCATAGCTGTGGCTGGCCAACTTGATATTTAAGTGGTGTTTTCTATCTTCTCCTGACACAATTCTTGTTCTATGCATGATTTCTGGTGCTTCAGCAATGATGATGACATGGTCAGGAACCAAGATCTGCCCAGCATCTATTGGTCAATTTTGGCTGCAGTGCACCTGCACCCTCCCCCCAAGCTGTTGAGTACCATGGCCATTGGGGCCCATGCAGTTGGACTGACGTGATACCTGGCTTCTGCAAGCAGTTGCCCTTGTAATGCTTGACTGGCACTTTCTGAAGCATTGTCAGGTCTAAGGCAGGCTCCTTATTAACAATGTTCACTGCTTTTGTGAAATAGCACTAGACTTCTTTCAGAACCCATGTTCAGCACTGGTGTGAGAGTATTAAACTATTTCTTTAGAAAACAAAACAACACAAGATCTCTTTCAAAAACCAAATTTACTCTTTGCACAAAAGGTCAGTTTCACAAGAAAGGCAGAGTTTCTAGAAGTTCATATTGCCTGTTGCTTCTGTTGATGAAGGGGCATTCTTTTGACTGTTTTTAATTTGTTGTGGGTGACATTTTTTCTACTCTCTGGGAACGGGATCATCCTTTTCTTGCTTGCTGTCTCTCACAGCGGCAAGATGGCTGCAAATGCCAGTGCCAAGACTGCCATGAAGATCATTTTTAATGCTGCTCCAGTTGCATGTAGGGCAGCAGGAGCAATTGTGAACAGAAACCTTCATAGTGGCCTTGCTCTTGAACTTTTCAGCAACCTGTCAAAAAAGGGCACCCAGCTACATAATGGAAGTGGGAGGGAGCTCAGCTGGAAGTCTCTCTGGGCTCCCTCCAACTTTACCCCATGCCCCTCCACTGCATCCCTGAACTATTAACCTGAGGATCCTTTAAGATATGTATCTCCTGCTCTCCTGAATAAGCTACATCCAAGTTTAGAACTAGCCCAAGTGACAGCCCACCATCACAGAACATCTCAGCACTGGCAACCTGTCTTTTGGGCAACTTGAAGGCTGGCACACGGCATTTATTTTGTTTCAGTGTGATTGTCAACAGATCTGTTTTACAACAACTTCTGGTAAAGGAAGAGGGCCAAGTCTCTGATTCATAGGCTCTTGTCACTCAACCCGCCCCATCACAGCATCAAGGAAGACAATTGATGGTTGTTTTTCCTGACCAACAAGTCACAGGGAAGAGGAACACTCATGAAAAGGGGAATGTAGTCACAGGCACAGCCCTTAACTTGTCTCTCCTTAAAAGTATAAGGACAGCACCATTGCCCAGCTTTTTACTGAGCCAGAATAGAGATTGGCTATTGGAACAGCGAGTCATGTCAGCATATTTTGCACTGCTTCACAGACGGGAGGAGCGCATACTAAAACAATCCTTTGATTAAACCATGGGCAAGTTCTTTTTTTTTATCTTTTCCTTTGGCTTTACTAACTCACTTATTTCAAAGTGGGTAGGGCAGGAATGGAGGAAAACAGTGAAACAGGCAAATAAGTATGTAAAAACATGTCCTTTCCCGTTCACAAATGGCATCATGGAGGTCTACGTTCTCTTCTCTAACCTGTTGGAAGCCTGGAGAGAAGTTGGTGCCAAAAACAGGTGGGATGGGCATCAAGTGCTAATGGAGATAGCAAACACAGGGAGAGAAATAGCTCAGGTGGAAACTGGCTATGATCAGAGCGGGGTGGGGGAAACCATGCTTCTCAGCAGATCCAAAACACACCTCTGATCATCCCTAGTACTAAATCACTTGATTGTGTCTAAAGTAGGGGCAAGTAGATTGAAGCTGCTCTTGGATAGAGTCAGAATAAGGAGGAAAATACTTATAGGCCAGCACAGCTAATGAGGACATATGCATCTCTCACTCACTGGCTGGGGATGAAATGAAAGCAACATCTGCAAAGAAGGCAGAAAATTGTCAGTGAATTATTGTGCTATCCTGGGGTGCAAGAGGGAACAGTGTTTTTGTTGTGCAAGTCCAGTCATTGTTATGTGTAACCCTGGCTTACGGCTTAGCATGTATGAACAGTCATTATGACTTGATCAACCAATTATGGCTTGCTGGCCTAGTGTATTGTGTGTACTAGAGGGGAATAGTCTGGACTGAAAGATCCAGCTTCCAGCTAGTAAATATCTTCTAAGCAATGTTTATCTTCCTTTGAGTCTCAGCGCTTCTATGATAGGTGTATATTTACCACAAAAAGCTTTTTGTAACCTTTGTACTCATTTGTCTAAAATTCAACAAGCTTCAACACAGAAGGGGCATACTGTATGTATATCCCATCCAATTCTGTTAAAAGGCTGTACTTGTTTGTCCATTGCCTCATGTTAGTCAATAAGCACATATATTAAATTCCAGATTTTCCAGAGATAGACTCCACTTTGTGCTTGGTATCAATGTATTTGCTTTTTTCCTTTCAGCAAAGTTGTTCAAAATTCTTCATGATGAACTTCATGGTGTGGTTAAAAAAAGAGAGAGAAAGAAAACGCAGCTTAAAGAATGACTCTGTACAGTGCTCAAGCATCGCTTGCTATAGCTGAATCCAAGAAAAATAAATAGGGACAAATACTTTTTGAGATCAATGGTGTTCTTGAAAATTATTTCTCACAGTTGCAGGTGACACCCTTAACAAATCCCCAGGAGCAGATGAGAAATGTATGGGCTGTTAATAAACTGTAACTAATCAATGAATGCTGCCGGATTGTGCTCAAGCTGCTTGGGGCCACCCGTCCTTGGGAGAAAGAACACTTGCTCCCCCCTTTATTTCAGGCCTGCAAAAGCATGTGGCAGACCTTGATGTCTGTTAGCGTGCATAGACATATGTCCCTCACACTGCCATGTAGCATATTCAATGAAGTCGCACAATAATAGGTTGTCGCCCAGGGCAGTTTGAAATGAGACATTGTCACTCTTTGGTCACAGAACAACAACAACCAAATTAGATGGGCTCTCTATGGATCTTAAACAATATATTCTCAAAACACTCATGAATAAATCCACACATAAATGTAAAAAGATCCCTCAGCTGTGCTGAGTTATTAATTGTCTGTACCGCTTTTGATTATTAGGGCTAAGGAACTATACTTACTCATTTCTTTATTATTTGTGACATGAGAATCCAATTAATGGTATAAATATATACAATTGGCTCCAGATCTGCCTTCTGCAGACAGAAGGCTTCTTCACTCTGTGAATGCTTCTGATCTAAAAGAGCATTTCTATTGGCTTCTTTCTCTGCAGATTCAAATTGCTTCCCTGAACATTTACTGGAGAAAAGTGGGATATCCTCTGGCACATATGAGAGGTGAGGCTGTAGGCCAAGGAGACAACTCTCTCTCGCTTGCTCTCTGTTGCATTCCTATAGAACAGTATTTCTCAATCTTGGCAACTTTTCTGCTGGCTGCGGAATTCTGGGAGTTGAAGTCCACATATCTTCAAGCTGCCAAGGTTGAAAAACACTGATTTAAACACTGGCCACATGGACCGTTCTAGAGCTCTGAAGAATGGGAATGGGATTTTCTTTTGAACCCCCTCCTGAACTTTCCTCTTCCTGCAATCTATGTCACAACCTCAAGCAATTGCCCCCATTAAGTGAAGTGGATTTACTTTTGACAAGAGCCCGTAATTATTTTAGTTTTGTGGAACTTTTGCATGGCTATCCATTCTCTGTTTATATACTGTACATCAAATAAAGGGAAACCTATCACTCCTCAGACTAACTCACACGCACATGCACGCACACAAAAACATCTAACATTTTACATTGGCTAAAGAGGTCACCTCCACCACCCTTGAAGAGAGTTTCTTTTTCAGAACAAGATTGTCACTGAAATCTTGCATTCAATAGGGCTTAATTGGAAACATTATTATTATTTAGGGTTAAACGTGCTAAGAGCACAGCCATTACAAGTTAACAGTATCCTGCTATATATGTTTATAGGATAACCAGAAGGAAGGCCCAGTATATGCAGCGGGAGTTATTTTCAAAAAAGCTTGCATAGGCCTGCAAGTCACATCCAGAGAATCTGAAATGAAAGTGACTTAGTGAAATGTGAAGCATACAGATAATCCCCATTACCTCAAATTCTGTAATTTCAAATGAACGGATTGGAAGGACAGATCTACCAAAAATATAATAAACAGGATCCTCTAGGGAACTCCATGGACAGAGCCAGCAGACAAACATATGGGAACAACACAGGGATGTTAATATCAGTAAATGATATTTCCAGAAGGATCATCATGTTCATCTGTTGCAGCAAAAACAACAGTGTTGCAGCATTTTAAAAAACGATCCTATTCATTATGGCACTGGTGTTTGTGGGTTGCACTTCTTCAGATGCATAAAATACTGTTCTGAGGGCAGATCAGATGCACATCATTTGGAGTTAAAGTATAATTGCTGAGGTCACAGAGAGATGAAATAAAAACTAAATAAGACGCACCAAAAAAAAAAAAAACCACCCTAACTAAGAAGCCAAATCTATTAATTTCAGTGACATTTTCTTCCAACTATATATTGTCCAGGATTAGAGCCCTAGAAATACCATTGAATTCAAATGTTACATGGGTCAGTCAGAACAAATCCACTTGTTTGAAGTTGCCATTTTTTTCTCTCCCTGCACTTCTTTGGCAGACAAGAACTTGTGTCTTCAGCACCTGCACAATACATGTATCATCTTGACAGGGTGTGTGCGTGTGTGTGTGCGCACAAACAATGCTTCCAAGTGCACAGGGGGATGGCTATAGCACCTCTCTGCCACACCTTAAATAGGGATGCGCAGGGCTTCAGATTCAATGGCAAAAGGTGCTTCAGAGCAAGTGGGGCATGCACACAGCATCACAGGAAGACACAGCTGCTTTAAGGAGTTGCAGGCAGATGCTACCACCATCCTCAGACAAGAACATTTTTGGCATCAGATCTGAAGCTTGGGTGGAAAGAAAGGCTGCTGCAAAACCCAGCATCAGCCTGCTGACTCTTAGGATCTGTTCCTAGGACCTGTGGGACCCTGAGCTCCATTTGTTGCAACCCCACTGATGAGAAACTTCCTTCCTTTTTCATGCTGATTAGAGAGAAATCTTCCCTTTCCCTCATCAAGAAACATTAGAGAAAGTCCCACCCCCATCCCCCCAAGTCTAGTCCCTTTTGACAAATGGGGTTCACACATCATCAGACTGAGCTGTGGTTTACTGAAAGAGCCACAAGTGTCTTGGTCAAAACTAGATAAATCAGATGAGGATTCTGTGCATTGTGTGACCTCAGCTTATGAGAGGGAGAGACATGAGGGAAATTCTGTGGAGGCCCTTTCGGAAAGTAAGTTTCAACTGAGAATTCTCATTCCATCCCTGGTTTGACAGAATAATCTGAAAAAATGTTCCGCTTCAGTCCAGTGCACGGGAGCAAGGAACAGACTTCAGAGGATCATGCTAAAAAGCTACCTCTGACAGGTGGAATATACACGGGGTGGGCTATGACCATCAGGAGCAGATCAGAAAATTTAAAATAAAAACAATGAATAGGTAAATAGAGAAAAATCATTTCAAAAGGCAAAAGAGATGAGCAGCTTCAGGGGTTGCTCCAGAAAGCAGACCGGGAATAGCATCAATCACTAATGTGTAGGAATACTGCCAGGCATGAACCAGCCATAACATGGTTTGTTGTTTTGGCCTAGTGCTGAACACTTATTTGCCATGGTTTATCATCCAGCATAACTGTAGTTATCTTAATGCCTGGTAGTAGCCCTGCTAGCATTCTTGCCTTTTATCTCTTTGAAAGCAGCAGCGCAGCTCTTTTCACACCAACATTGGGTCCCTCGTCGCAGGCCCAGATCCGGTTCAAAACCCGAGAGCCTGGCAAGCCTTTGGAACCAGGACCCCAAAATTTAGCATCAGCCAGTTGCACTGAATCATCACTTTGGAGGAAATCCTTGATCCGTTCCCCTTGGGTTTACTTGCCAATTTAGGCCTGAGGAAGGGGAAAGAATCAATTACTATTGAGAAACCTTCTCCTTTCTGCAGTTTTGATCCGGACAAAGGGCAGTGCAGCACTTTCCACCCCCTGCGGTCCCCCTGGGAAATGCCTGGAAATCAGCCGGGCTCTTTCGCTGTCAGAATATCTCCGCCCGCGGGGACAAACGGATCAGGCTGTCTGATTTCAAAGGGATTTCCTACCAAATAATGGAGGACAAGATCCAGTCTCAGTCGATCCCGTTTACTTGGAAGTAAGGAGCAATGAATTCTGTGGGATTTTCCTTGGAGTAAGAATGCAGAGAACGGCGTGCCTGGGTCAGGGGCAAAAGCTGCGCAAGTCTACTCTGTGAGGCTTACTCCCAGAATATACCAGCCTTCCCTAATCCTGCTTCCTCCGGCAGCTCCCAACATTTGGGGCTGGGGACGGTGGGACACGTAGTCCAACACATGCAGCGGGCAGCACTGACAAAAGGGGTGTATTGAGTTTCAGCCTTCCTCGGAAATCAAAAGATTTCAGTGGCTGCGTGGGAGGGAGGAGAGCGAAGAGCGCGAGAACCATCCTCCGACTGTGTTCACACAGCAGGATTAACTTGACGGCTACATCTAGCTTCTGCGTACCCACGACAGGCTAAGCTTGATGCATGTGATTGCTCTCAGGGTTGCTTTTGCTTGTTTTGCGTGTTGGCAGGTTAGATAGTTGTGTGGACTCAGATCTTTTGGTTAGTTTAGAGTTCATTGTATTGTGAAACCCAGGGCTTAGCTGAACTCAGTAACTGAATGATGACTTGCTGAGACCAAGATGGCCTCTGCCTCCCTCCCCCTGAAGTTCCCCAAGATGAAGAGAGGTGAAGGTGGCCAAAGCGGATGAGCGGTGGAGGCAGGCCAGGGGCCCTTGGCCCTGCAAGACGTCCCATTCCTGGCCAACCGCTTGCATTTGTTGTACGGCCTAGGCAGAAAACTTCCCCATTGAGCTTCTCCTCGCTGCAACAGTCGTACCACTAACGAGATAAAACACCTCAAGGCTCTGGAACCTGAGTAAGACTCAGCAGGGAGAGGTCAAAAAAGTCAATATGGTGGCTGCGCGCTCATAAAAAACAGGAGGAGCTTCGATCGCTGCATTGCAGTTTCCATCTTGACTTTTTTGACCTCTCCCTGAGGACAGCCCTGTACCTGAGGCTGCTTTTCCCCTGTGAGGTGCAGGGGGCGTTCCATACCAGTCCTTGCAACCGGTGGTCCGAGGCAGCTGTGCCCTGCCCTCGGCCTACCACATTCGGTCGGAGCACAGATAGCTCTGCTTCATTCTAAGCTGTGCCAACCGCACTTCAGAAGGCGTGGTCAGTAAATCACGGGTTAGGTTAACTTGACGTGGGAAAGAGATCACAAGCTAGAGGCCTGGCTCACAACGCAATTGAATGTGTGGTTATTTCAGACTAGGAGGAAATCATATTTTTGAAAGCTTTTGTCCGAAAGGGCTGTTCCTTACTTTTCCCAGTAGCAACAAGATTTCACCCACAGATGCCTTTTGCAGCAGCATCTCACACGGGAGGGAATCTCCTTATTACCCCCCCCCTTCTTATCATAGGCTGTTCGAGTCTTGGGCCGTCAACTTTGTCTTTCCCCCCCTCCCGGTTTCTTCTCCCTCCTTTTCTCTGTAAGTCCAGGAGTCTCGCAGCTTCTGCACAGGCTTTCAGAGGGTTTTGGCGGTGTGTCCTCTTTAAATGCCCTTCCTGGCACCCCTTTAACATATTTGCATGACTAGACTGAAAGAAGCCCTACTCCAAAGTGTGTAAAGAGCATTCACTTATCTGGGGATGCTGCTGTTTCTCTTCTAAGTGACACCCTCGCTATAGCAAGAAAGGCCCCAGGCGAGCTTCACAGGCGCACTTTTCGCTGGAATCCGCAAGGTGAGCATGCCCCGATGCCCCCAGAGGAATTTATGGCGGTGTAAAGATGACCAAAATTGCGCTTTAGTGTGTCACGTCGCAGGGTGACAGTCCTGCAGAGGCGAGGATCCCCACTTTACTGGAAAAAGGAGGCGCGTTTGTGAGTGGCGGGAAGGCTTTAATACCTGCCAAAGTGGAAGAATCCTGAGAATACAGAGAATTCGTTTAGAAGACGGGACAGGCTCTGTTCAAAATGATTCCTATTGGCGTCAAATGAGAACCCACCGAAGGTTAAAATCTACAACCACCTGGAAACAGTAGACTATCTACTTCTCCCGGGACAGAAGAATTTCTCTATAGGAAGTGATGAGTGTTTTCTATCCTGGGTTGGGTGTGAACAGGTCTGGTCTCCTGGGCGAGCTGAAAGAAGAGGAGGCTGCTTCCCTCACCGGTCGGAGCTTGGCAGCGATCTACGGCAGTAGGTCTAACGAGTCCTTCCGTCAAGCAGGTCGGAGGAGGCGGGCCCTATTAGTCCACCTCTCGGGATTGGAGCTCCGACAATTTGGCACTCGGATACTTGATCTGCAGGGTCTGATTTCTGAAATGACAGATGTTCCAGCCTGCCTGCCTGCCTGCGACTTCGACAGTTCCTCCTGGCTAGAAAGAACACACTCAAGAGATCCCAGATACTCAGATAATTTCATTTCAAATAGTAAGAGACACTTTGATAACATTCCCTCCCCTTCCTCCTCTCTGTCTCTTTCATACAAACTTCCCTTGCCTCTTGAAAGTTAGGGAGAGCTTCAAGAGATTGCCTCCAAAACAGGTGATTCTCTTTTTTTTTCCTCTCTCGAAGCAAAAACAAAAACTGGCAGTAAGTAATTCAATGGCTGAAGTGGTGAATAATAGTGAACAGGTGGTCAATCAAATGAAAAACCCTTGGGAAGTTAAATAGAATAGTTTGTATTTTAATGTATATTACTTTATTTAAATTTAATGTATTAATTCAATTTATATTTATATTTTAATCGTAGAACTACATCCGTAGTTCATGGGCTGGGTTGCACGATGCTCATGTGTGCATTCTCACCACCACTTTCTCCCCATCCCTAACGATATTTAGCTTGGTGTTTTAATTCCTTGTTGTGCGTCTGAGCCCCTCTAAAGCTCTAATTTTATTCCTTAGATTTCTATCTCCCAGGAGCCCAAGGCAGGCAGGGATCTCTCTTCCTTTTATCTCACAAGCAGCCTCGGAGGTCGAAAGAGGGACAGAGTGACAGGCCTCTAGTGAATTTCGTGGCTGAGGGGAAACCTCAGTTTCCAAACTTTGGGTGGTCCGGGCGGGACTGGAATAAGTTTACCCAAAGCTTGTCCAGATGCGATTCTAGCTATAAACGTACAAAGGCTTTCTTTGAGAGTGGACACGTTCCAGGAGGCAGCCAGCCTGATGTGGTGGTTAAGGCATCAGGATAGAAACTGGGAGACTGGGCGTTTTAGCCCTGCCTTAGGGATAAAGGTGACCCTGGGCCAGTCCCTCTCTCTCAGCCTTAGGAAGGAGGCAATGGCAAACCATTTCCAAAATCTTGCCAAGAAAACTGTACGGACAGTAAAAAAACAAAAAACAAAAAGTCTCAGGAAGCGAGTTTAAAAACCTTTGCCTCCCGCCTGGTCGGGGCATTCTGAGGAAAGAGATGATGCCAAAAGGTGCTTTTCAGCCTCCTGGAGGTCTAAGCCAAGCAAGATTATGGTGAGGGCTAAAAAACCCCTGCCCTCCGTCCAGCCTCTAGGACTAGACCCGGTAGAAACAAGTTGCAATGGCTGTATCCCGTTGTTGGGCTTGCGCTTTAACGCGGCTCAAGAGGTCAAGTCCTGCGGGACGCTCGGGGTTCTGAGCGCGGCCTCATTGGAAACTCCTTTCCAGAAGACGTGTAGATGGAAAATGTGTTCACGGTGCATGTTGATCATATTCCCAGGGCGAATAAATGCCCCCACTCGGTGAAAGAGCTCGTTTGGTTTGAAAACAGATGACATGAAATTAGAACCTCAATTTGTGCCCCAGGGGGCCATTTCACAATCTCTCCCCTAGAACAATTTGGGTGGCAATTCAACTGATTGAATACTGGCCCAACTGTAATGCAGGCAACCCATGTATCATTTAGGCTTGTTGAGCATGCACGGAAGAGGCAGTCAATGAGGTGTGTAGGATCCTGGCAAAATAAAGCCTTGCACGTGCAAACCTTAGTGTCACCATAACAGACTGCTTGTGGCCAACCCCAAAAGATCTTCCCAGGCAGTACTAGAAGAGTACTAATGTGGCCCAATCTGGACTTGGCTGCGTCCCTTTGCATTTAGGGGTGTGGCATGTTAGTTCTTGCAGTTGGAGCAAATCCCTCTTTACTCGGCAGTCACTTTCTATTCTGGAGAATAGAAATCTTTTGGAGGGAGTTAGAAAAGGTAAGTAAGACGCCCCGTTGTTGGGGGAACATCAAGTACACCCACCCGCTGAAGTTAACGAGTTAACGGCCGTGCAAAGAGGCTCTGGCCCCATATTTCTGAAGACAGAGCACCTCAGTGGAAATGAAGGGAAAAGACAACAGACGTCCATCTTCTCTCTTTCTTTTAATTGTTCTCATTATTTAAAAATGTGAACAGTGGGTCACTCTTTTTTTGCAACCAAATAATAAATATTTAGGAACTTTTCCATTTCTTTATTTTTTATATATATAAAAATAAACAGGTGATTAAAAAAATCTCTTGAAGGCGACAGAGCTAAGAAGGGGAGAGGGAGACCTTATTCAGAAACAAGCCCTGAAGGTGGGGAGGGGGTGTAAATATTGCAGCACAAGCAAAACTTAATGTCTCCCTCCCCTCCTTTTTCTTTTAACCTTTATGCTCAAGCAAGAAAAGGAAGTGTTGTGGCTTCTGAAAGGGAAAAAAAAGGCCTTAATCCATAGGCCCACACACTCAGTAAACTCAAAAGGAACCCCTTTGCTCCTGCAAAGAGAAA